GGGTGCCCCTGGTACTGTTTGGTATCCCAAATTCTGGTTACCACCAAACTAGTGTTGGAGTTCACTTGGCGAATCCTGCGACGGTGTGCTTCGAAAGCCGCCTTTCCCGTCGTGAAAAGTTCGCGACGAAGACGTCGAAGGTTTGATTCGGCAGTACCTCTGCGACGTTATTCGTCAGCTTCGCTCCACGTCGGCGATGGAGTGAGGGCTTTGGATCTAGGAACACGAGGCCCCTCCCCGAGGTGATAACGCGCATTCGGGCTTGCGAAATCGCGAGGATGGTAGCCCAGCGGCCGATTGGGATCGCCTGCGGGGCCTCATCGTGCACATCCGACCGGCTCGTCTGGCGTCTGGAAGGCCTGGTAGGTGGAGCCGGCTCCCCCTTTCTATCGACTATGGCTACGGAGCCCCCGTGACGGAGCTTGAGTTTCAGAAGCTCAAGTACACTTGGCATGCCCTTGGTACCCATTGGGTACCAAGGGCATGCGAAGTGTACTTGTGCATGCACCGATACCCGCGGGCAATCCTGCCAGTACTTCCATATGAGCGCACAACCCTGGTCTTAACCCCTCAGAGGGACGCCTCGGACACCTGTCCCAGTCCAGTACCTACCGCCTACTGCGTGCCGATTACTGTACACAATTAAAATACTATCGCCACAATTAGTAAATACCATATGGGCATTGCCAATACACGTGTGCACTACTGTACACCCGTAATAGCTACTAACTACTGCACGGAAGACACGTGTGCTACTGTACACGTACTCCACGTCGAGACCGATCGGCTCGTGTGCGCGCTCTGTAGTGCGATACGCACCTGAAAAGGGGGGTGAAAAGAAAGGAAAATATTTGGATATGAAAAGTAGTCCGGGTTGGGGGACACACGTGTGAATAATTGCACAGTTTTAATTTTTAATTATTTTATTTTATTTAGTTAATTAGTTGGCATTAATTTTGCTGACACTAGATTAGATCTAGGATCTAGCGCCGCGAGCTACTGTACTGGCTCCGGCGGGGCGATATATACCTTAGCCCTCTGACGACCAAGTCAGTGAAGGTAACCCGAGTTGCCAGAGTTGAATATCGCCTTGGTCGAAGTCCGTCTTTCCCAAGACGCTCTCTTTTACCACAGATTACGTTATCCTTTGCGCTCGGGGGGTCCCTTTCCTTTTCCTTTATTTCACCTATCCTTTTCTATTTCTATCTCTATTTCTATTCCGTTATCTTGTGTTGGTGCCATCGGCTTTGGTTGCGACCGGACCGGTGTAGGTGTCTTGGCCATCGGGCGACACGTGGGTGTAGCGCTGCGACTTGTTTACGACCACCGACGGAGGCTGTTGCAACGACGTTTCCCTCGAAGGTCCTGTTGTGTATACAGGACAGTTTTGGTTCCATCGGATACAGGTTGCGACCGTTCCGGTGTCGGTACTTTGCCATCGGACAGTAAGGAGGTGTAGCGATGCTACGTGTTTGCTAATTCCCGTCGGGCTGCGTTGCGACGCCCCCGTCGAAGACCTTATCAAGGGTATAAGGTGTAACAGGCGCTCCGCGAGCATTGGATTTACGACCCATCGGGCCCGGCTTCCTAATTACCGCCCCGAACTCTCCGAGCAGCTGCCTGTACAAGACTCTACCACCGTTCGTCCCGGGGCGGGCCTCTTCCTTTTGCCCCCCCTATCAGGGACTTGAGCTACTGTGGGCCGCAAACCCACTTAAAGGGAAAGGGAAAATCGGACACGCCGTAGGGCTGTGCCGTCGGCAACTCTTGTTGGTTGTTGTTCGTTGGTTGTGTTGTCGCTGGACCGTTGGACCCTGGTTCCGGCCTGACAGGCACATTGCACTACACGCTCCCCACACGTTGGCGCCTCGCCTACGTGTATATTGTACACGGCCGCCAGATTAATAACCTCTGCGCGCCAGCCGTTATACTCTAAAGAGCACGACAGTGTAGATTCAAAGTTTGATCAATGGTCGTCTCCGGTAGGGGACGGCAAACTGTAGCACGGTTCATATAGAGAAATGGACATGCCGATACGGTAGTGCCTCGGCGTAAAGACTGTGATTTGTACCTAGATGGGCCGTAATAGCGGAGTTTCGTAACGAAAAAACAACACGAACAGGGCTACCTTCTTATTCGTACACCTGGCCTATGTCGTTGTAATAAGACATTGTAGTCAGTATTGCGGGTTCTGCTTAGAGAACACGTCCTGCTATATCCATCATATCCCTACAAGGCGTACGTTACTGCAAAACCCATCCTAGAGTGAAGAAACCGTGCCGAGTCCGAGTGTAACATCTGAAGTAGTCTGAAATGAATAGAATTCAGGTGAATACGGCATAATAATCTTATATATGGAGATACGTAACACTTAAAAGGACAATGAGACCAATTTACATTCTGCACACACCTCGTGACGTAATACGGATCCAGTTCTTCGTAGATACAGCTTCGGCAGCCCATGGCTGGATATTCTTCTGTAAACTTCTTGCCCTATTCTGATTGGCGGATATAAGACAAAACAGCATCCTCCGTAAATGACACGGTAGTTTGGTATAACAACCCACCCGCGCGAAGGTTGTTAATCTAGTGGCCGTACTCGGTACACACGAGGGAAAGGTGTCTACGTGGTGTAAGCCGGGGCACGCTGATCGGTCGTTTCTGAGTATGCGTGTACAGTAGTGCACACGTACAGTGCTGGAGCCCGTACTTTAGTTTGTAATTAGGGCACTAGAATTTTAGTTCTGTACAGTTCCCGGTACATAACAGGTAGCTGGTACTGTACTGGGACCGGTGCCCGGACGTCTACATGAGGGGTTAAGACCCAACGCCGATCCTTCGCAGTAAGCCGGAGGCAAGCTGGCCTCCGTCTCCTTTGCGCCTAACTACTACCGGTCGATTAGTCTACCCGGGTTGGTTTCTAAACTGTGACCGGTCATATCCAAATCAGCACCTCGGGGCGGCTGCGCATGACCGGCCACGTGTGCCACTCTCTTTTCGCCAGCTCGAACGTATCAGTTGTCCGCACATCCCGCGTTGCGTGCTCCCTCGGCTACATCTCCGGAGCCTCTCGCCCTAGTAATGGGTAAGAGCAGTCGTGCGAGAGGTAAGAAGTGTAGTACAACGGCGCGAAGGCGACGGCACCACCGCCGCCGCCCCGCGGTACAGTACGATGGACTGTAAGCGCGAGAAGAACTGTAAGGAGTTATACTTACAGCAGACGGCCGGTGCGGAGTACAGTACAGTAGTACCCCGCCGGTTACACGTATAGGATCCGAATGGTAAGTAATTAGTAATTAATGCCACAAATTAGCCAATTTAGTACAATAGCTGGTATACAGTAAGTAACAGCTACTGCAGCGGGACAGGTGTGCTGGAGTCCCACTTAGGAGTTAAGACCGGGGGCACCTGCCCCGTTCCAGTAAACTGGAGGCAGACTCGCCTCCCTTCCCTTTACGGCTAATTGCTATCCCGTTCCGGTTTTCCTTTTAGTCTCAGGCTTCTAACCCGTGACCAGCCGTCCGGTTATAACACCACCGACCAGCTGCTCGTCACCGGCCACGTGAGCCTTCCCTCATTTCGAGTCCATCCGTACGGTTTGCGTTCGCGCGTGGGTTACCCAGCGGCGTGCGCTCCCTTACCTCTAACCCCCTTGTTTCCGAGTGGTCGGGACGAAGGTAGTTATACCCCAAGAAGATCCAATGTCCCAATGTCCCAAAGCGAATGTCTGTAACCATAAATGAGCTGACTCCAAGGTCTGTGAACGATGTGTCCACATAGACAGCTGTCTGTCTCCGAAGTAATAGTCCCCTGACACCCACTGTGCCTATTACACAAAGTGGCAGGCCTGAAACTCGTTTGTGGCGGCTCTAGGCGGTTTCGGTAGCTTTTCTAGAGGCATGCTCTAACTTTGCCTTTTCTAGTCTCTTGGTAGTCTCGGTTTCCATCTCAGAAGTAAGCGAAGTTCGAGCAGAGCGTTTGGATTCTGAAAATAAAGCATCATGTTCTTGCTCCGCGAGAAAGGACATCTGTCGCGCAGTCTCTAAGCTTTGGCCGGAAATGCGTCGGAAACATTAAGCACTCATTGAAAGAGTGGCTTAATTCAGGTGCCGTCCGGTGCAAATCTCGATGGTACTTCCGACGACATCGGTACAGTACCAAGGGTACTGTACATAGCTTTCCATTCATCGGTCGCTCCGCAGCTCATTCCATCGCTGGGGCAGCCCTTCTCCCGGTTTAGGGGATTAGGGGGTTTGGATTCTATGCCTTGAATGATGAGCCTGGCCTCAGATGCTTACACCGAAATAGGGACATGATTGGCTGATGTGAGTGCAATGAAGCTCCACAGAAGTTGAGGAGATTCGCCCAACAGAAATTAGCATCCCGCCATTGGTTAACAGAGCCGCCGACTGTAATGAGGACCTGACACAGCCCGCTGATTGGGCAGCGCCACCTGCTCCGCAAAGCGGCGTCGAAATCCTCAATTCACACATCTGCTGTTTTCCTCGTCCGGGCGACTTTTAACCGACTCCTAAAAACCAGGTCTGGCATCGATCCTCGTCTCACTCATTCATCAATCCGCAGAGCACATGCCTCCCCCCTTCGCTTCCCCCCCTCCCCCTTCCTCCCAACCATGGTCTCCTCGCGGAAGCGCAAGCGCTCCCCGACTCGATCCAACCTCCTCAACTCCACGCACGACTACAAAGGCGTCGCACCTCCTCCCTTCGCCCCCGCCCGTCTCTCCCTCCTCAAGGCCTACCGCTCTCCCCTACCCCGCAACCTCCAGCGCGGCCTCTCCCCCGCCTACGTCAACCTTGTCCTAATGGCGGGCGAGCGTCTCCGCGCCCGCGACTTCACCTCTGCAGCCGCCGCGCTCCCCGCTCTCTTCAAACGATACCGCAAGTCCTCCGGCAAGCGGTGGTTTTTCACGCGTGAAATCGCCCTCACTGGCGCCGAGGTGTTGCGGCGCGCCTCGTGGAAGGGGCACGCCGAGATGTTGGATGCTTTCCTTGCCCAGATGTCTCGCGACGGCCATCTCTCCAGCCGCCACGGCCGTGAGGGCTACGCAGCCAAGGCCCGCGAGGCCGTGCTGCTCGAGCGCGCCATGCAGCTGCTCGCCGGCGGCAACGTCCGCCCGGCCTTCGAGTGCCTGTACGAGCAAAGTCAGGACAAGCTCTTCCGCGACAGCGCCCTCATCCACGGGTACCTCGGCATGCTCGCGCTTGCCGTCAGCGCCGCAGAGGACGACCCCTCGGTCTTGCTGCGTGTAGCCGCCGGCGGGCTTAGTACCGCCGCCGAGATCGAGCCCACCGCGTATTTTTACGTCTACTACGCCGCAGCCGCTGCGATGGCCGCCGGGAAGCGCGACGATGCCCTGGCTATGCTGCGCAGGTTTGTGCACGAGAGGAACCGCACGGATCCCATCGCATTGTACGGCGTGCTCGCCTGTCTAGAGGGGCTGGACGACAGGGATTCCGACCCCGTCAGGCAGGAGCGCGTCGACATCGCCCGCCGCTTGCTGCTTGTCGATCCGCTCTCCGTCGCGGCAATGGATTTGCTGCGGGAGGCACACGCGTGGGCGTGGCCGGTCGTGCCGCGTGTGACTTGCGCCGAGCTGGCGGACGCCCTGGGTTCGCGGATAGAGCATGGGGATGTCGCCGATGTCGCGACGTGGACGGCGTTGGGATTCGTGCTGGGGTCCGTGCCGGCGGCGCGCAAGGAGTTTTGGCAGTTTTCAGGGCGGTGCGCTTGGTGGCCATCGCACTTTTTTCGCGTCTCAAAGCTCAACGCTGACATAACGGCGAACCCACGGCTGGCTTCTGTTAAGGGGGCTGTGGCGAAAATGCTTGCCGCAACGGATGGCAGCCCGTACGCCGAGGGGGTGGAGGGGAGTGGGGTCGTGCAGTTGTTCGCTTTTGAGGATAATACTTCAGATAGAACCTAACTTCGTTAACGCACATGATCTAACTTGGCCATCTAAGAGCTAGGGCCCAAACTATGAGTACACAGCAAAGAAAAAAAAAAAGAGGGCAAGAAGCTGTGGTTGTTTTTCCTTATCTGTACAGCAACATGCTTCTACTGAAAACGCCCTACAGATTGCTCTCTTGCATCTCTACGTCACAACCGGGGTGGTTGATAGCGCGGATGTCGGGCCATTCGCCTGAGGCGGGGGGGTTTCATCGTCTTCCACAAGGACGGGCTGGAGCTTTTCAAATTTGGGCTTCTTGAGTGTCAGGATGGCGTACGTCGCGAGGTAGTTGAACGCCAGTATCTTTGACAGGCGCAGACAAGCTTTGGACACGGTTGACTCGCCCCACGTCATGCGCTGCAACACCTGTTCGCCGGTGCGGACGTCCCACGATTCCTTTGCCTCGAACTCGATGCCGCGAAACTCGTTGACGCACAGGGCCTCGTACGCGTGCTTGATAAGCGAGACGCGTGGAATCCAGCTTGCCCAGGCGGGCACATTCTCGTCGGTGATGTAGAGGCCGCCAAAGACGATCTGCAGCACAAAACTGGACGGCCCGACGGCGAGCGCGGCTTCGGTGGACGGGACCAGTGCGCCGATGACTAAGCCGTACGACGCCGCCGTAAACGACTCCAGCGTGATGATACCCAGGAAGCGCAGGATGCGGTTGAGGCCGCCGGACAGGCCGACCATCGGGTAGACGGTGCAGGAGAAGACGAGCGGGAAGAAGGCGCTGACGGGCATCTCCGCGATGAGCTTGCTGACAAAGTACTGAAGAACACTGTACGAGCCACGCGCGCGCTCGCGGTTGACGATGACGCTCTCGCGCGGGAAGACGTTGAGCGTCTTAACAAGGGCGGTCATGGCTGAGTTGATGGTGCATACCTGGAGCAGGCCAAGGCGGTCCTGGATGGTGGTCTGCTTGAAGCCGATGCGCCAGTAGATAGCGCCAAACAGCAGGGCGCTCATGAGGGCGCTCATGAAGCGCGACATATTGGTCTTCTTGTCGCGGGTGATCTGGCGCCAGGCCCTCTGCAGCAGGACGCGGACCTGCCCGAAGGCACCCAGGCGCTTCGGTGGGGCGGCGAAGGGCTTTTCGCCGTCGCCGTCCTCCAGCGGCTGGCGAGCGGCATCGTCGAAAGTGGCGCGCAGCGTGGCGACTCTATTCGCCGACGCGGCGACGGCGTTGGACGCAGCGACGAGGGTGTCGATCCTCTTCTCCGAGGCGGCGGCGGTGTCGTCGGTGGAAAAGTCGACCGAGATCAAGTCGAGGTAGAGCTCGGCGGGGTTGGACTGGTGCGGCATTGGGAATCCCACGCGCTCAAAGTGGGCGGGCGCGTCCGCAGTGGGCCCATGATACACAACACGGCCGCCCGCCAGCAGGACGAGATCATCGCACAGCTTGAAGATCTTGGAGCTCGGCTGATGCACCGAGCATACAACGGTGTGGCCTTGCCTCGCCAGGGCGCGCAGCGACTCCATAACCTTATCCGCCTGGAAGGCATCCAAGCCACTAGTAGGCTCATCACACAGAATGAGGCGCGGGGTGGAGACGAGCTCGCAGCCAAGCGAGAGCCTCTTCTTCTCGCCGCCTGAAATGCCGCGGGTCTTCTCATCGCCGACGCGACTCGTGCTGACGGTCAGCAAGCCGAGCTCGCGCATGAGGGCGTCGACAAAGCGTCTCTTCTCCGCGATGGGCATCTCCTTCGGCAGGCGCATCCTGGCAGCGACGTCCAGCGTCTCCTGTACGGTGAGCTGTGAGAAGAAGAGGTCCTCCTGCCTGACGTAAGCGAGGGTCTCAGCGAGGTCAGCAACGGGCACGCCGTCCACGCACACGCTACCGCGCAGGGTGGCGCCCTTCGCGTACGGCAGGCGTCCGGCCAGGGCGTTGAGCAGGGTAGTTTTCCCGGAGCCGGACGGGCCGAGGATGGCGAGGACGCGGCCCGCGCGCGCGCGG